ATGACAGGCAGATAAGGTAGTAGCTGCTGCCTAGTAAGTAAAATAGCAAAAGGCAGCAAGTGCCTTGTGTTCTGTGTTCCCAGTATGGTAACTGCAGTAGTTCGAGTGTTGTGGCTTTATGGCTAAAACGTTAGCATCAATTTGAAGTATGTTTTAGATCATAGCTCTTCAATGCTCAGTGTAAAAACTGAAGCGACAAAATCCACATCCTTCCACTTCTGTGTGCCCTTTCTTCTTTCCCTGTCCTTACTAACAATTCCCCTAACTGCCCTGCCCTCTCTTTTTAGGCAGCCTGTCATGCAAAGATTGTTTCTTCTGTTCCTTTCTGGTAAGGATATTGTGCTCTCTTCCTATGGCTGTTAAAGTGATGTGCCTTAAATGTTCCTTACAATGTTGCTCTGCCTTTTGGAAAGCAAGGCACTGACTGTGGATATAAGGCAGTTTAGTTTGCAGTGGTAATTAAATAAGAAGCAGTATACTGGGAGGCAGAGCTGCCAAGTACCTAAGAAGGGAGTGGAAAACTTAGTCTTTTCATGGTCTTTTGCCACCATTTGCTTAGGAACGTAGAAGGCATGGGATATCTACCATGGGGAAGGAGGTTCTAAACAAAGTGCTGGTTTTCATGTAAGCTCTTATTTGCAGCCCATTACAAAAAGTACAAACCTGAAAAGCCACTCTGACTTCAGTTCCCAGTGAAGTTGACATTTGATTATTTTTGGTTTCCACTTTCTTTGACAGCTCAGCATCAGTCCCACCTCCACCTCACACAATTTTAAGATCCTGTTCAATAAGCAGAACAAGTATAAACATGGTTCTCTACTCCAGTTATCCTGGAAGACAGAGGAAGAGAGGAAAAAAGGCACAACAGCCTGCTCAGTGCAGTTTTAATAAGACAGATCACTTTTCTTTAAATTTGGAGTGTTGCCTTACTTTGAAATTCTTTACTCTCTGGTCAGTTCTGGCTAGTTTGGAGTCCATTCCTTTAATTTTTCTCTTCCCAGCCTACATTCCCCTCCCTCCACAAGCACTGCTGGCACTGCTCCCTCCTGTTTCTCCCTTGCCTACGCTCTCAGAGTATCATTGGCTTCATGCCTTACTCAGCCAGGATAGTGTCATGAATACTGCATACTGTTCAAATGTGCATGTCTGATGTGCAAAGTTCTAAAGTAAATGCTTCTGTAGATAGAAACTGTGTGGGGAATATCACAAACCAGAGTCAAGAAAATTGCAGTGTTTTCTAAAGAGAGAAAACACATTGAAAATAGTCATTTGTAAATGACATATATGCCTAGTGAGTGAATCATATGCAGTGTTCTAAAAACTAGCGTTTATCATAAAAATCGTGTAAAATAGGGACCTCACATTTATCTGTTTAACCCCCATCTCCAGGGCAGTTCAGCTGTACCTCGAACATTACTACTGATGTTTATCTAACCTTTTCAAAGAGATTCCATTATGGAAATTGAGCAATATCCCTAAGCAGCATATTTAATTCACTGGTGGTTTCTTATACCACTGAATGTGGAGGACGTTTTACTTCTTTGTCTTTGTAGCAGCACTTCATATATGTGTTCACATGTTAACTGACTTCTCAGTCTCTCTTCCTCAGATGGAGCACCTTTCTTTCTTTCAGTGTTTGCTCAAGGAGCCTACTATCCAGACATTGCTCATCGTTGTCTTCTTGCCTCTAAATTCCAAGTGGTGTACAGAGAGTGGGTTTGTTGGAATGTAGAGTCCTAAGCTGAACAAACTACTTCAGAGGAGGCTTTGTTAGCTCTTAGCATCATAGTGTTTGGAGAGATTATTTTTTTCTCACAGCAGTGTGACAGTGTTGATTGATGCTTGATTTCTGAGGTGGTTTAACCCCTTAGGTTGTCTTCTGTCTCCTAGCTGGTAGTTTTGCATTCAGCATTTGTGCACTTGATTGTTATGACCTTCAGCTGGCTGACAGGATCTGAAGTATAACACTTAGTGTTTGTCTTTACTGAGGCACATCCTATTTATTTCGGAACACTTTTCCATTTTCTTAGGATTGTTTGGGATTCTAATCCTGTTCTCCAGCAGTTTTGCCCTTTGCAGCTTCATGTAGTCTGCAAATGCAGCAAGTGTATTACATCACCCAAGGCACTGATGAAATGACTGTACGTTACAAGTCTCAGACAACAAGCTGGTGATAGCTGTCCTTCAAATACAGGTTTTTCAACTAGGAATGTGCCTGCTTTATATTTCTTATGTTCCCTTTGGTTCACTATGAAAGCATTGCATGAGGTAAGTCAGGGCATCGTTGGTAGATTTTCTAGTAATGTCATGGGAGTTTGAATTCATGTCATTTGTTTTGACTGTTACTGATCACCTTGCTGTCTTCCCCATGTCTGTAGATTAAATCTTTGTTGTTCTTTAACTTTGTCAGCAAATACAGATAGGTGTACTGAAATCTGATTCTCTCTATTCTTCATTTCCTGTTCTGCGTATCTGCTTCTTTCCAGTCTTCAAGTATCTTTTTGTCTTCCACAAGTTCTTGAAGACTTTTATTGAAAACTTTTCTTGCCTACAAGGTTGTTGTCATTGCTTATATCATGCTGACACTTTCTATTTGGGCTTCCTTGTAATTATTAGCTTGTAGGTGTCAATGTGCAAGAAAATGTGAACCTTTCAATTAATATACTCTTTTTAATTACTATTACTGCCCCCTCTTGTTTGGCAAAGCTGTTCTTTGATAGCTTTTTGAGATTAAGGCTGTTCTTTTCACCTGTTTGTGATGTGCTTTTCTATTTTATTCTGGAGTCTTCGGGCGAGGTTTTGACCTAACCTCAGTGCCTTGATATCTTTGGCTGTCAAGAGACGTGATCTTCAGTTAGAATAAGCCAAGAGAATTTAAATTGGCTTAAGGTAAATCATCCTCTCTGTGCCCCAGGCCACATTTAGGAGGTGAAGCCATCTTTGCTTTTACCCTTTAAGGCAAGCTCAGCAGGTATCTGGCTCATCTGGGAAATGAGCTCACTGAGTTTACATGAAATACTTCATTGACTTAACTTTTCTCTCCTTCGAATATAGTACTTCTTTAAAGTGTCTTTACAAAGTGATCTTTCTTCTCTTTTACCACACACTATAGGGTGAAAACCTTGCCCCACTGAATTTAGTATGAGCTTCAGTTAGGTCAGAAATTTTACCCTTGAATTTAAAGTATGGTTATATTGTGCAAGCCTTAAGTAATGTGTTTCATTTTGCTAAGCTCACTTTTTCTTTCTAACCACTCTTCAGTCAAAACTAAGTAGAGAATAAGGAGAGCATATAATCTTGATTTTTGTACAGGCAAAACCAACGTTATAAGAATTTTTATGTTTTCAGAACAAGGCCAAATCCTCTGCAGTCTATTTCATTACATGTTAAATGAATCTGGATAAAGAATGGATTTGTGTCTCAGTGAACAATCCCAAGAAGTCTGAGTTGAGTTGATGACCCTGACATTGGCATTACCTATCATCTTTCCATCTGTAAAGTGACGATAATGATACCAATATTTCTTTAAAGCCCTTGGAGATCTTTGTCTGAGAACTTTTGGCTATATTCTGTAAGTGACACTTCTTTACTTTCCAGAAACCTTTTCAGGCCTCCATTAAAAAAATAAATGTGTTCAGCTTTTTGTACTGGCACTTAGAGACCTCAGTGTCACCAGACCTGTGAGATCTCTTCCAAAAATTAGTCCTTTTGCAGCCCTTCGTCTTCCTGCTGAGCTAGAGAAGCTCGATATTTTTTTGCCTCCCAGCAGAAACATCTACCAGGATTGATGCTTCCAGGGAGTGGGTGTGACAGTTGTCTTGCACTTAGAAAGTGAAGCATGTATAGGACTCTTCTTAATAGAGCGGTTGTTTTGGAGTCCCAGTAGAAAGCCAAGTGCCTTTTAGAGCATATTTAAATTAATGAGGGATCAATGGATGTTGGTGCTTAACAATAGCAGAGAGCTGTTCTTAATGGCATAGAATGGTGGTTCAGAAGGGAACAGGTCTGACTGTGCCATTACGTAAGAAACAATGAGAACAGAAACCAAATTTGCTTGAAGATAAAAAATTCTGTGTTTGTAGGAGAGAAAACTCAACTGAGAAATCTTACTACGTTGTGACAGCTTCCGGACTATCAGAGTGAGGATTTGCTAATTATCAGGAGGGGGTTATTTGGAGGGCTTTTCTGGTAACAGCTGAGGATTTTAAATGAGAAAAGTAGCTGTTACATAATATTTAGCCCTGAAACATCCTGAGTTTTTTTGTGTAACTCCCTTGGCATGGAGTCAAGTAGGGATAAAGTACTTATGTTTCTGTGTTTCTTAAAATTACTTTTTCAACACATTGAATGGGTCTGGAGTCTCAGGGGAGCAGTCTAGGCCAGACTGAGAGTAGAGCTGCATCATAGGCTGCCATCCCAATGGAAATGGGAAAAAGCAGACAACTTCCATTAGAGGCTACCGCTGAGATTTCAGCAGCATGTTGGAAGTTCTGTTTGTGTTCCAAAGAGTAATTGCACATCGCTAGAACATGTCCCACTTTGCTGCATGGTAGAAGTAGTCGATATGGACTTAGTGGGGGAAGGAAAGAGAACTGCATACTGCAAGTGGGAAAGACTCTAGACCCATATTCCTATCTCATGCAATACTCTCTGTGAGATACTTCCTTGTGGAGGACTTTAAGAAACATGTACGCTTCTATTCTCAGCCTTATATGTTTTCCAAGTTTCTAATCTAAATTGCTATTCTGATATTTTTCCTGATGCACTTTTAAAGTCAAGGTTTTTCAGACTTTAGCTGCTTGTTTTGAGAAACCATTCCATTCCCTTGTAATTTTTACTGTGAAACATTTTCATCTCAGTTGTCTGATTATTTTTTTTCTTGATTTCTTGTTTTTATATTTAAATCTTTGTCATTATTTTAATCCACAAAATTCCCAGCTTCACATCTGAAAATACATGTAGATTTTATGTAATCTAGTTCTATGTCCTTTTCCCTTTAGGTCTCTTGGGGTCATTGGATGTCTGCCCTGTGAATCTTTGTATTGTTTTCCCACATTAAGATGCTTAGCCCTGAATGTATAGTCCTAAAATGATCCATTACCTGTATCTTTATGTACATCTTCCACTTACCCTCTCCTTGTGCAGCCTAATCTCTTATTTGTTAATTAGCTTGCCAAATTTGTGTTTCACAAGTACCTTTCCCAGGTAATTTCTGAAAGTTTTTTACCTTGCTCTGGTGCCAAAATGCAAGTTAGCTAATTTAAACTCTTAAGACATTAGCACAGAGAAATGATTGAAACATTTATTGTGTAGCAGAAAGCTTTTAGATTAACAGTTGTTCAATTCAAACATGATTGCAGGGAAACGAAGGAGGGAAAAGAAGAATATCTGGGTAATCTCTGCACCTGAGGAAAATCTATGGCAGCTTGTGACTGCTGTAATGAGCCCTGGGGCCACTGGCAGTTGGCATCTTTCAGCTGCTGTGCCTTGTGCTGGAAGGCTGGACCACCACGAAGCAGCTCCAAGGTGGGTAGCAGAGTGCAAAGGCTAATTTAAAACTACAGCTGCATTTTGCTCCTTGTCTTTGCCAAGTATTCTGTGGTGAGAGGTAACGATTGCTGCTGCCGCCCCACCGAGCGTTCCTTCTTAGGAGGGCGGAGGCCTCAGCTCAAGGGCATGCACTTCATGCAGCCCTTTATAACTGTACAAGCACTTCTAGCATTGCTACAACTTACGTTCGCTTTGCTCTTTTTGTACAAGCATGAATGATCCTGCAGAATACAAGATGACAGAGAAACGCGGCTGCTTTCATTTGCTTAAGTTCTTCAAGACGTAACCTTTTATCTCTAGTTGAGTTTGCTGCCTCCCTAAAGCCTGGTGTGGCATTTATCTTTTCTCTTAGGTATTCAGGATATTTTCCCAGTCTGTATTTCCTTAGCCTGTTCCTCATAGCATTTTCCAGTGAGAGCATTAGGGAGATATATAAAGGGGGCATATAAGAAAGGAGGAGACTTTTTACCAAGGCCTGTGGTGACAGGTCAAGAGACAATGGTTTCAACTGAGAGTAGATTTAGATTGGACACAAGGAAAGGAGGTTTTTATGATGAGGAGGATGAGACACTGAAACAGGTCGCACAGAGAACTTGCGGATGCCCCTTCATTTGAAGTGTTAAAACCCCTGATTATCACAGGAGGATTGGACTAGATAGTATTTAAATGTCCCCTGAAACCCAAACTCTTCTGTGATTCAGTCCTGGAAATAATTTGAGCTATTTGACAGGTATTTGGATGTTGGAATTGATGTCTGTTCTTTGTTTACTGGTATAATGTTTAATATCCAGTGCTACTTACCTGAATTCAGTTCTTCCTTCTTTTTCTGAGCCCAGCAAGACCTTGGCTGAAACTGTTTTCTTTCTGGGTACTAATGCTTGATTCAGCTGCACGGGTTCTCTCTGCATCTCTTGTCAGTCCAGGAGGACGCTTTCAGGGAAGTGCTCATGGGACCTTGGGTTTCTGTCATATGCTTCTGGTTCAGAGGAATGCTTTGTGAGTGTTTGCCCAGCTAGAAGAAGAAAGCATTTTGATTTCAAACCATTGGAGACAGTGTATTCTGCAAACCAAACTTTTTACCTTGCTGCATTACTCTCCTTGATGGCATATTGATCTACTTTACTCAGCCAAGTTGGGCCAGGCCCAGCTTTCTGCCCAGTTACGTGTCTCAGCGTCTTGCACTTTCACATCTTAAGCAGGACTCAGACTTGTTCCTCCATGCTGGGATCAAGCTCTGTAACTGCTCTTCATAATGAGCAAACACAGTACAGATATACCTGGAGGCAAAAACAGCGGGTTCCACCCCAGACATTGAACACCTTCTCGGCAGTGTGTGGGGTTTCTGCTCCTACAGCAGCTTCCTGCTTTCCCATGTGGCATCATGCAAATGAACAGGTCTGGGAACAGATGAGTTTGAAAGTTTGCTGTATAGGTGCTTGAGTTCTTTTCTCTGCAGAGGTTGTGTTGAGGATGTGCTGGCTAAGGCATCTTGAGCATAGGTCTCTCCAGCCATAAATTCCCTTCAGAAGGTTTCTTCATATAAGAGCAGCAGGTGGTCTTGGTGTTCAGAGTCTGTGCTGATTGCCTAGCCATGGACAGTAAGTTGGGGCAAAATTTCAGATCACTTCTTTAAGAAAACCAGTTCAGTCTGGTGCAGTGTTATGGTGATGTTTGCTGAGATGGTTAAGCTTCTCACAGGATGTGCTTTGAGCTTCTAAGCTGATCTTGCTGGTAACTGTTGCCAAATGGATTTAGCTATCTGAATGGGTCTGGGTGTCAGATGAACATGAGAATAAGTAAGACAACAGATGCAGGAATGAAAGGAGTTGAGATGAGTGCAGCACCCCCAGTTTCCCTGGCAGGTTTTGGTTTGAGATATTAGCCTGGCTCAGTGTCTCCTGAGGTTTAGCATCTCTCTGATGCTGGGAGGGACAGACCTGTCTTGCTCCTGGCCGCTTGCTTCCCGTGTGTTGGAAGGTAACTGACCGCCTTGAGCCAACTCAGCTCACTAACCCTCCAGTAAATGAACTGTTTATAAAACTGTGAGTTCTCCAACTGTCTCAGCAGATCAGCTTGGCACCAGAGCTGGTTCCAGAGGGCAGCAGGGTGTGTCTTTTAGGAGCAAGACTCAGACTGACTGCTGTCCTGTGAAACAGCCACCTGTCCTAACTCCTTCTCCCAGACTGAGGCTTAGTGCTTGACCAATGCCTTTAGACTGCCTCCAAACCTGGTAACATCATCACTGATTTAGCTGCACTGTAGGTGAAACTCCAGTGGTGTATTACAAAAGCTGCTTTGACAATCATGCTTTATTTTTGACAGAATAGTTACTGTATTTTTAAGTATCATCTTACAGTACATGTGGCTATATAATCTACAAATTGCATATTGCTAGCCTAGAACAACAAATTCTGTGTTCAGATATGAAATGATAGTTGTGCCGCTTTGTTAGAGCGTGAGCTTACAGTCTGAGAAACAGTGATGTTTTCCTTACTTCTCTTGCTGGAGGTTGGTCATACAGGATTGTCCTCAGCAGAAGACAACACTTCCAGCAGTCTATTTTCTTATAATTATTACTTGCAGCTTTTATGCAAGTAATAATTATAAGAAAAAAGTTTATTTACTGGCCAATTATCCAATTTTTTAATTCTTGGTCTTTGCTGGAAGGTAAAATGAAGAGAAATGCAAAAGGAAAATGAAGTCATTCATGTACTCTTTGCTTCTAGCTTTCACTTCATTTGATTGTAAATTGTTTGCAGTAAAATTGCAAATTAGTAGCTTGGATAAAGCTCTATAAATTTCTTCAATATCAGATTTAAATGAGGAGGAATTGGACCTCTAACCTTTATAGAGTGTAACTGTAGCTGGATGTGTTCCTAGGGGCAAATTCCTCCCTATCATTTGCTTGAACTCTCAATTGCTCACTGTTTAATGCATAATAGGTGGATGCTGGAAAATGCCTAAGAAGATGCAAGATGGAAACTTAGGCACTCTCATTACTAAACGTGGATGTCAGAGGACATGCTGCATCCCACAGCAGGCTTCTGAACAGAAGTGCCTCTCAAAAACCCACACTGCTTTCCAAGAGTAGTGCAAAACTTATATCCTGGGCTGGCAGAAGGTGAGACAAGGGTTACACTGAAAGTAGGTTTTCTACATATTGTAATAAGAGCAAGTTGGAATAGCCACCCCTCCTGGAAAAGAAAAATACCACAAGAACTTCACGGTAATTTTCTCCCGTGTCTTACCTAGGTACAGGGAAAGTGTCCTACAGTGTAGGTAAGGTAAATTTCGGTTTTGTGTGAGGTATTACTACTGTCACTTTATTTATTTTATGACTGAGATAACTTCTTCCCGTTTATCACACAGCTAAAAGAACAATTCTTCCATTCTCAGGCCTGTCGAGCAGTGTTTTTGTTTCACCTGTGTTGCTTTTACCAACAGCCAAAGTCATAGGAAGTATAATCTTTACAGGCAATAGTCCAAACATTTAGAGAACAGCCATGGAGAGAGAGAGATACTTTTATAGAGAGTCTGTTTGGTGGCTATGGCCAGCCTAGAGGAAATGGTCAATGGCTGGAGGTACATCTGCATGTGCTCGTTCTAGCTGGGTGTATGGGAAGAGGGCACTTCTGCGATGCAGAGAATTTAACCTCTGATTTGTGTGCATAAATAACTGGATTCAGGTATTAATTAGCTTAGTTTGGAGAATTGCAAATTAAAGGAACTCATACCTTCCTGTCAGAACAATTTTGTCTGCGTTGTGCTGGCTGATAAATCAGATTGCATAAAGGGGATATTGTGTGGGTTTTCCAAGAGCAAATCAGAATATTATAAAATTAAACCTATGTGTTTCCTTTTTTTTCTCTGGCACACTCATTACGTCTATGGAAGAGTTTCTGCTCCCTTTAATGTCAATTTGAACTGCCTTTGTATGATACACGGTGACTCTTGTTAGCTGTGTGGGGCATTAGTCTGGTTGTCAGTGGGGAAGGCTTCTTCACCTCAGGCATTCAAGATACAACACTAGCCACACGTCCCGCTCTTTTGGACTTTGAATGTCTGCCTAATTGTAACTTATTTTCCCTGATCCAGTGATCCTTCAGCCTGGAAACGCTGAGCTACAACACTCATCTGTCGTCAGCTTTGTTCAAGCTGTGGGGAAGTAGGGTAGTTGTGTTCTGTTTGTAAAGCAACAAGCAAGAGCAAAAAGCTTGACTAGGATGAGCAAAAATAAAAACAGAACCATGAGGCAAATCCTATTTATCTTTCTCACTGGGTAAATGCAGCCATACAGCCTGTGTGGATGGTATACGCAGAGCTGGGGTGGGAATGCGTTTACAAGGAGATCCTCTGACCTGCGATTGTTAGTAGTATCATTAAGCTGAAATGAAACAAACAAGGAGATAAAAGATACTGGGATTTAAGCTTGACTTTTGTTGGTTTGGGTGGTTGTTGTGTGGTTTTTGTTTGTTTTTACTGCTTTTTGTTCTGCGAAGATGAGAATGTCTTATCTGTGGCTTTGTTGCTTTGGACAGTTTGTGTCCTTAATAGTTGCTTATCCTTTTGAATTGAGTTACCCTGGTTTAACACTATGCAGGAGCCAAGCATCAAAGAAGTGGTGGATGTCCCTGGCCTTTTTTCATTTCTGTAGAGATATATTGTGTCAGTAGAAGAGTTAAATTTCACCAGTGCCAGCGTAGTATACCTGGTATGCAGTCACCTCATATGCTGGCTCTGCAGCTTTTATTGCTTATGCTGTCAGTGTGCATTAAGAATTAGTGAGCAGTGTGCACTAGATTGTTTTAGACGTGGTTTATATTCTGTTCCTAACGTACCCTGACAGACCGTGCTATCCCAGCTGTGCCGTGTTGGTAGTACCGGAAGGAATATCAGCCACTGCTGTTAAGTTTGGAACACAGGTTCATTTACAGCCTCAAATTCTTATTTATACTTCTACAGAGCTTTATGCAATAGGCATCTGCTGGGATGACAGCTTCTGTCCAGAGGTGAATCTGTCTAGAGGCTTGTTGCCAAAAGTAAATTCCAAATTCTGCACTGATTTAGCAAACCATGTCTCACCCATGTTTTGTAATGAGGAATATTTTCAAACTTGCCTTTTTCCTGAGCAAGAAAATGGGATTTTTAAAGAAAACACTATTTTTTTGCAGACAGCAGAAGAGAGAATGCTTCTGCCTGCTTCCTGAATTAGGCAACGGTTTTTGCTCAGTTGTTTATGAAATTGGTGGTAGACCAGTCTGTGCTTAGAGGGCCTGATCCTAGTGCTGCTAGACCATTTGGATCATTCGTGGGCTGTGGATAGAGTAACGTTAGATCTTTCATTTTCAAGCAGACAAATAAGTTATTTTTTCTGAGTGCTCTGCATTTGCTTCTCATCTGTCTTATGTTTCTCTTTTATATCTTGTATCTATAGAGTGGTGTGAAAAAGGCTCCAGCTCGCCAACTCGGAGGGAAGAGAGAGAAGCTGGCTGTGACAGTTTTAAGTGCAGAAGTCTGCAAATAGGAAAGGATGAGGAGGATTTAAAAAAATGTGGAAAATAGGGACAGGATTGGTAAAACATGAAAAGAAAAACATAGGGAACAGGACAAAGGAGGAAATGAAACTGCAGGAGAAAGGAAACTGAAGTGTGAGTGTCAAAGAAAAGAGAAAATGAGGGAAGCAAATAGAGGAAAACAAAGATTATGTAGTTATCAAGTCTTCTTAAAATATGTAAAACCAGAAGTGTTTCAAGATATGACTATGTATATATAGAAATGAATATGTAGTTTGAGCCTTTTAAAATACAGGCTGTAATCTCGAATTTTTCAACTCAAATTGAAGACCTGTGGCTTAAATTTATTATACTATATTTGTTAGTTATACTAACAGATGGACACATTAGTGATACGTCACATAGAGCATTCCTCTGTCTTACTGCTCCTGTGCCCTGGGTTGTCCCTATTCTGCCATATGGCCAACAGTGATAAACGGTGAGGTCTCAAGAGCTGGTTCTGCTGGTAAATGACTGCAGGTGAACAGGTGAATGGACTGAACATTTATCTGCTTTTGGAATGTAAAAATGTGTGTGAGACTGAAGGGTGGAGACAAGTACCATCATGCTTACCATGCTGTTCTGGATGAAACTGGGGTATTTGAAGTGGGGCAGTAGTCAGCAGAACGGTAAAGACAGCATCCAGTACATGCCTGAAGCATGTGCTAAAGAGGCAATAGAAACATCAACAGAAGCAATCAAGAAACTTTTCCCCTGGGGACAACATCATAACACGTTTCTGTAAAACTTGTTGGTTTGGGAAAATGTGTACGCTAGTTAATTGAAACATTCCCTCCTGTCAACTGAGAATTGACGGGAGGAACACCAAAGCAGGCAAATAGCAGCAAACTGTCTGCAGGCACATTTCTGGAGCCCTGTCTGGTCTAGAGCTTTTGAGTTCTTCCTTTTTACCAAACTATAATGTGAAAATATCAAATCAGCAACGAAATATATCAAGAAACTGGAAAGCAAATAACAGTTTGAAAAGAGGGAAATGTAGTACTCAGATCTTCTGTATCTCAGGGTAAAGGAAACATGTTTTATATTGTTTGTGTGTTTGCAAAGCTGTGGTAATATTAGAAATTTATCTGAAACCAAGGAGCTCAAAATAAAACTCCCTTTTAGGAGCAGTTGTACTGCTCAGTTTACCACAATGATATTTATGGCCAACTAATCTAAATTTCTCTATTCCTTAGAAACCATCCGTTCTCTTGAAGGTGGGAAGCATCTTCCCACACTGTCAGATTTGAATATTTAATCTAGAGAGTGAACTTGAGTTGAAATGCAACTCCTTTGGCAAAGGAAACTGCCTTTGAAGTTTTTGGATCTGCATTCCATGTTTCCTGTTTTAAACTGAAAGAACAAAGCACTCTGGAATAGTGCACTGTAAGCACCCTGTGAAATCTGCATGTCAGACATCTGGCCAGCTGACATGAGGAGCCAGACACAAGGAGGAGGTCCAGGGGCATTTCATTCATCTTCCCATCAAACAACCTGCCTCAGGTAAGAGAAGTTCATGAGACTCAGAGCTAACACGATCGGTCGTATCCTCAATTACAGGGCAGTCAGACTAAAGGGTTCATTAAAGAAAGCTTACTCCTGTGCTTTGTTGGCCAAGATGATGAAATACCCCATAGTACCTGTTTTAGGACTTAAAACTATGATCTCTTGGACAGAAAAATCCCCAAATTCATTTCCTCTCCCTTTCCCTTAATTCCATTGGTCATTTCACATCCAGCTCACATAGGCTTTCCTGTTTTTCATTGTCCATAGATCATGACCTCTCTCAGCTTCTAGGCAATGAGATTCATGATCCTACTTAAACTGTGAAGCTTCTTAGGATGTGCCTATTCTGCAGGCACGAAGAAAACCCAAGCTGGATGAAGTTGGTGACATTTAAATCTTCATGTGTGAAAAAAATAAATAATTGAAATCAACTTGAAACTCGCTTCATTACATCAGGTCTAGAATATTATTTTCAGTCTAGACTGAGGGTGGAAATAATTTTAGCAATACTGATGATCAATGTGTCATAGTGGGCTGAATCATGTCTTCTCATCTTCGTGTACTACCTTGGAGCATTAGGTGTTAAGACTTGAGGTTGTGCTGTCCCTGTGCAGAAAGTGGCAAAAAGTAGAGAGTAGATTCAGTAGAACAGAGATGCAGATGAATCAGGCAGTTTATCTTTTACCAAAACTACTGCTACCATGTAGGGTTGAACAAAATCAGCTTGTGAGTAGGAATCAGCAGTTGAAGTTGGATCTAAGCAAGGCAGAGCTGAGGATACAGGAGAGCTGGAGGATGCCTTTGGCCAAGTCTCAGTTGTCCTGTACAGCAAGTAGTTTAGAATCACTGCTGGATTCTTGGGTGCTGCAAGATCTTGAGCGGCAACCTCTGTGATTAATGATTTCTGCCATCTCTAGGTGGTGGGGAGATTCTGTCCTAGCTTCATTATGATTGTATAGGACTCTTATGTCCCATCCAGGCTGGAGCAATGCGGTATACATGGGCTTAAAGCCATTGGTCCTTAGGCAGCTGCACTCACAGAATGCTGCAGCATTTCTCCTCGTCAGTGTGTACTCATGGCAGCACAATGCACCATTTCTTTTCTCTGAAGTGCCGCTACAGCTGCTGGGCTGTTTGGCAATCTGAACAGGGAGCAGGAGCCTGTAGTAGCTGCTGACTTTTTGGTGACACCTGCTTTGTCAGACTGTCTATCTCAGAAGGGATCTGGAGCAGCTTTTATGTTAAAACATCTATTATATTTACAAACCTGCGCTGATGCTTGAAGAGGGGTTTGAAAAATTGTATATGTCATTGTTAGGTGAAGTTTGAAAAGGCTGGTGTATATCATATAGATCATATACTTAATGTATAAACATCGTATATCATCGTAAAATAGGAAACATCATCACATAGCATGTGTAGCTGAACACTGTCAGGGATCAAGGTTATAGATAAAATGGCAGGAGATGTGGAAAAATTCCCACTTTATTGAAGATTCAGTGGTCAGCATGGATATTACCCTTCAAGTAACTAACAGTTGTTTGGTCAGAGTGACTCAAGTAATTACTGGCAAGTTTTGTTTGTTTTGTTGTTAGAATCTGGTTCTTTCACCTACCTAATTACAGAATTCCATTATTTCTTTTTTGAATGATTCAGGTATTGACTTGCTGGTAGGAAATTTTGGCTAGACTGATACCGAGAGGTATGTATTTCTTTTAAACTGGATTCCATAAGCCAATCAGAAGAACATGTCCATAAGCATCCTGAAAGAGAGTTTTTCTCTGGCAAAACCTCTATAGTGCTATCAGGCACGTTCTGTTTTTCTGCTGCTGCTGTCTGGATGGGAGCTGAGTGCTGCGTATGAACCAGGAGCCATGGGTGCTGTGGGAGAGGGTTTGTTGAAGGTTACGCTTGCACTAGCACTTAGGGCTGTGCAGTAGAGACAGAGCTGTACTGCCAGTTTCCTGGTCCTGAGGACCTAATGTCCACCTGCATGTATTTTTGAGGTGTTAGACTAGCTCTGGTTTGGTCCCACATGCTCACGTAGTGGCTCAAGTGCCTGGGGTGTGCTCTTGGAGAGCTGCTTCTGATTTAGTTACACCCCAAAGGAATCCTGTCTCTGGGCTCCAGGGCAGCACTGTGCTCTGTTGGGAGAGCTGCTGATCTGAACTACAAATTGGCACAGACGCAGCTGGTCTTTCTGAGTTAACTAAATTGAGACCATAGGAACAGGCTCTTGGAGGCAGTGGCAACACTAGCTCACTCTTACTGTTAGCTAAAATCAAGGTCCACTAAGAATAATACCTATTAAATTTCTTTTAATGTTGTTCACTTGACTTCAGATACAGGAGAAAACTGAGAAAGCTCTTTCTGCTTTCTGGGGCTAAATCAAGAATTAAATAGGGAATCCATGTTAAAACAAGAGGGTAAGATGCCAGAAACACTACTGCAGTTATCTCTCTGGGATAGTTGTGGGTATTTTGACATAGCTTACCATGACTAAGCCATTAGATGCAAGAAGTGCCTGTGTATTGAAAGCATAAAGCAGTTAGTCTTCTACTGGCATTATTGAATGCTTTTATTTAAAACACCACCACCCACCTTAAAATCCAATCTAATTAATTACACAAGAGGAAGATCCTTCCTGAACAGTCATGGTTGGAGCATGTGCTGCCAAACCAGACTTCGTATGAAGTGAACTGTGTTAGGGTGAGTGCTTCAACATGAAGCGGGCAATAACGAGATGGTAAAGCAAAAGTGCTTCAACAGCTTCTTACACACGATGTGCTTGCTTACAGGCCCATTTTTGAAATCTGTTACTTCAATAAATGAAGAAATTTGTGCTGATTGAGCTATGTTGTTGAGATGTCCCATCAGCAACATCAAATCATGCAAACCTAACCAGGCTTTTCACAAAATAGAAGGCTGCAGAGTGCTATACAATGAACTTCGTGAAGCTGTTTTACTGATGGGGAAAAAAGACTCAAAAATTACTTTTTAAAAGTACTGTGTTGGGCTTTGTATTTAGTCTGTCGTATCTACACTTTGAAGCCACTATTTTTTTCTTTTAACCTAAATCTGATCTGGGGTGAAGGAAGCTATAAACGCTGTTTGCTTAGCAGGTTCAAGTTATTCTGCATGAATGTGAACTTAAGATAGATAGTGTTGGAACTATACTAACAATGGGAAAACTTCTCAATTCTGGTTAAGCACATTTTGCTCCTGGTCATATTGGCTGCTTAAACACACCTGGAACTGATGTGGGTTTGTAAAGTTTTCTTTTCTGTCATTTTTCTCTTCTGCCCCAATTTGTATTCCTGGCCTCCAGCGCGGTGTTACTCAGAAATCTCTCCTCCTGCAGTGTCAGGCCAGCGCCGTAGCTCTTTGAATACACGTTGTTGCAATTCCTACGGATCATGAAAGAGAATTACATAATCTTAAAAGCTATGGCTCTGCTCTCTGCATTCAATAATTCATAGTTTTACCCTTGTATTTCCATCCCCTCTCACCAGAAGTTCAGCGCAGCCTGACGTACCTTCTGTCATCCGGCGGGCCGAGTCCTGGCCCACATTCTCAGCAGAACAATGTGAAGTCCTGGCAATCCTTCACTGTCATTTTAGGCGAGGATTAGTTCTTGCATTGCTTTCACATAAATACTGAGATGATCGTAGCTTTTATTTGTCAGTGATTGCTGCATTTTTTTCCCCCTTAAACGCCAATTCAGTGAACAGATTTTACAATTTGTAGCTCCTCAGTTATCCTCTATGGCTTTTTAATCTCTAGGGCCAGATGGAAGCGTCATCCTTCAGCATTGCTTGTTTTGCGTAACACTGGGATTGGAACTACATTTGAATAGCACATAGTCATAGATGTGTAAGTATATAAATATTTGGCTTTTCCATCCATGTATTTTCTCTTCTAATGTTTTGGTTTGGTTTTCTTCAATGCAAGTTTTCTACAGGGAAAACTGTGACAAACAAGTAAATGTTCTGCCTTGACAGAAGAGTCTTAAACAGGAAAAAAGGATGATTTTGGTCAAGATTTGAGAGAGAAAATGACACTCAAGTGGTAAGTTTCTAAGACAGCTGATGACTTGACTTACCTTGGTTTCAGGGCACTGATAACACTCCTGTTGGACTGATCTGGAATGATGTGGGGTTGTTTTTTTCTTCTTCGGAAGCTTTATTTTAAGCTCTCCTACAATCTGAACTTTGATTTTCAGTTGTATTTATGGATTTGTTCTCTGCTGTCAGACTGCAATCAATTGACTGAAATCCATAAATAATAAACGTCAAGTTTCAATTTAATGCAGTAACAAGATGCTATTGGAAGAAGTTTTCCATACTTGAATGGCTTTTTATAGCCAAATCCTGACACGTTCCTAGTGATAGGAAGCTAATGGCTTTCCCGCATGTTTGTGAAGCCCATGTGACAAATCCTATACGGTAACTGAAGGAGAGGACACTCGTGCACCTGTTTGTGGAAGGGTTACATAAAAAGTCCTGCGACATATTTCAGCATCTACCAGTAAGCTGAGCAACTTGACCTGCTTTACCCTTCGTAGGAGAGATGATATTGAATTAACAACTGGGGGAACGGAGGAGCAGGGGAAAAAAAAGACATACTAACATGAAAAAACACATTTTATTGCACTTAAGTTATAAGAAAATAAAATTTCTAAGTGAATCAAACCATAGACACAATCCCTTTAAAGGTTGTTTTCCTCCATCATGTCAGGTTGTTACATAACTAAAATTAACCAACTGGAATCTGATTGTTTTAAATCAGACTATAAATAAAACAAAAACAAAACAAAAAAAAAAGGAGGAAAAAAAGATCGCCTAGGATACAGTGTTAAACCACTTTCACAGTTCAGCTTGAGTTGTGGCTCTTGGAGAATGAGGCAAACCATTTGACTCTTTCGCTTCTCATTTCGTTTGCATGTGACATCTTTACAAAAACACGAAGTTTTTGCTCTGTCAGTTCCTCCCAGCAATAACTGTAACAGTTGTTTCTTTTTTTTTCTCAAATACTGTAAAACACTAAGACTGACCAGCAACTTTATTTCCATTTTTTGTATTTTATCATCTTTTTAAAAAATGTTGTCAGTTTTTCTTAATGTATGTTCATTCCATTCACCACAGCCCTCACAAAGAAAAATTTCCCCACAGAACAGGCTGCAATAGCTTTGTTCTAAGGAATGTGTTTTAATTTTTGCCCAGAAAAAAGAAAATAAGCTTTGCACACACACTCAATTCTTTATTTGCAGGCAAACTTCACTCTTAATTGTCTGAAACTCTTCCACTCTCAGCCTCTTAGAGGCACAGTTGGCTCAAGTTTCAGTGGCAAAAAGTCTTTTTCTGTAACCAAACTAGAGCAAATTTGGAATTCAGTCTGGGACTAAAACGTCACAGCAGAAACAAAAATAAAAAAAAATAATTTGCTTTTCTTTCTTTCATTTAGCAGCATAAATAAGTTTGGCCACTGGGAATACAGTACAGGGGTGGGACAACAATCCCGTAATTGAAGACCTACTTCTAGCACCAGCATTGCGAATTAAATCCATCAGAGGACTCTCAAAACCCAGGACAACTTGCCACCTCAGAGCAACTTATGCGTTGAAGAGTGTAGATGGAAGCAACAGTAAATAGATTAAACAGAGGCTAATACTGTGATTGACATTGGCAATGGTTGGCAAAATAAGAAAAAAAAAGAGGAATCAAAGGAAAAAAAAGAAAAAGCTCTGATAAAACTGTACAAAACAATTCACAGTAATATTTTAGCTTTTCCACACCAGGAATGGACTCTTTGTTTTTGTTTTGTTTCACTGCAGATGCTCTCTAGTTTTTGAAAGTCAACCAGTGACTGCTCGTAGAGGTTGGAAGGGACCTCTGGAGGTTGTCCAGTCCAACCCCCTGCTCAGAGCGGGGCTAAAGGACAGCATGTTGCTCAGAGGGGCTGCCGGGACCCAGGATGGCCCAGGGGTGCACGAGCAGGCTTGCCTGTGCAGCTTCTTTTGAGATCTTTGTGGTAAAATAACCTTTTAATAAGAACTGTAACAATATTTTTTTTTCGCCTCCAAATTGCTCAAGGAGCAGATGGAGGAAAGTAAAGAAATAATTGCACCTGGTTTCATTTCAAAAGTCGCATTTTTGCAAAGCTGCCCCGGTCAAAAGTGTAGCCTTTTTATGTGGCGAGACAGCAAATGCCTCTCTTGTCAGTTAGAGTTTGTCATCTTTGTCTTCTCCTTCGTAGTCTGTAGGTCTTTAGGATCTGCTGCCCCAAGGCAACATCCTGCACCACCAAGGACAAGGGATATTTTTTTTCTTTTTTTTTCTTTTTTCCTTTTTTTTTTTTTTTTTTCCCCAGGGGGAGGGACAGGAGAACATCGTCTGCACGTTTGGACAAATTCATCTTTCTGCCCTTCACTTCATATCCACGTCAAAGTCCAACACCAGCAGCTTTGTTTCCTCAGTCCCATTGCGGCTCCCAACCGCACACACCAGCTTTGTGTTAGAAGCTCTGATCCGCCACACGACGCCTCCGCTTCCCCCGCTCTCCAATGTGACTAGATTTCGGATAAATTCACCCGTTTTCAAGTCCCAAAGTTTTACAGTCCCATCATCTGAGCTGGTAATTACAAAGTTCTTGTTGAACTGTAAACAGGTCACAGCACTCTGATGCTTGTTGGGACCTGTAACGGTAAACCAAAACATTTTCATGTACAATTAGAAAGCAAGGTCAGACAGCACTGCCTATAGAATAAATACCTAGCTATTTGCATACAGCTGTTTCTATCTATTAGATGTGTTAACTCAATTTTTGTGCATTTAGAGGTACAGAAGCTTTGCCATGCTTTAAATAAGTGAAAAGTCCCCAGGGATTTCCTTCTTTGTTACAGTGATCTCATTTTGTTGTGTACAAGCAGGAGGGCAAGTGTGCACTTGGATGATGATGAAAATGAACTTAACCATCCAGAATGAGGTGACTGCGGTAAGCATTTGTCTCCAAGTCCCTCTGAAGTGTTACTATGAGATTATCAGTAAATATTGACAGTTATATATTGACATATAAATATAGACTGTTAAATCAGCAGAATCTGCTTTACAGGGAAATTTAATTTTCTGTTCCAACCTGCAATGCTGCATATGGTATATGGGGATGATATAAGGACCTTTTTTGTGCGGAGAAACAAACCAATGTGTCCATGTACATGATGCCTGAGTGGCAACTGTCAAAATAGCAACAACAATCTTTCTTCTTTACTGAAATAAGGAAACATCTTCCACTCATTTGATTTATTGCAACAGACAGTGTACTTTGCCTCCCGATCCAATTAATCAGTGAGCTTTGAAAAATCCAAGTGACCCCTAAATAAATACGTTGACTGTTTTGAGATGTCACTTCCTACATATTTCTGTGGCTTATTAGGCTAATACACCCATAGCAAATTGCTATCAGTCCAGACCATCTGCCTTTCATAATAGGCAAGTGATCTGAATAGATTAAATTAAATACATTTTGTTCTTCTAATTCAGAGAAATATCATACTGCTGTCATCAGAAAAATATTTAAGATGTAAGTGGTCTGTGCTTGTTTATTTGTATGTAATTGTTTTCAAGTTGTTTTTTTTTCATAGAGAATCTGCATCATAGGTTACTACAGACAGCTTGACTGACATGAAGGTAGTTTAAGCTCACCTTGCAATGTCTGTAAACATTGTCCTGTTTTAATGTCCCAGATTTTGACTGTAGAATCGGCATTCCCAGACACGAGTATATTGTCCTTGAGTTCCATTCCACTTGTGAGAGACTGGTGGCCTGTTAGCGTGTGAATGCAGTTGCCTGTCTCCACATCCCAAACTCGGATGGAAGTATCAAGAGATCCACTCACCACATGGATACCATCAAACTACAAGAAAGGTAAATCTATTACAAACAATTTCATTAGGATCTTACAAAGAAGATTATTAAGCATTTAACTCACTAAGTGCAACATTAGATACTATATATACACTATGGCAACTGCATGATAATGTAACAATTCAGTCTAAGTAGAGATGACCACGTTTGGTATCGGAGCAGGTGATTAATGGTCAGTGTGATTTCGTGTAATAGATGTGGGCTATTGTGGTAGCCAGTTCGAGGAGAAGAAGACTCTGAACCACTGGTCTTTTAGCTGTAATACAACTCCATTAAGCACAACAGAATCCTGACTGTACTACAACATACAACAGTAAGAGAATGTAGTTTTCCTAATAAAGATATTAATGAGCAAAAACTGTTTTCCACAAATCAGAGGGACTTTAAGCTGGAGAAGGGCAAAAGCATTAATGCAGAATCATCTGCAGAAAAATAGAAGCATAGGAAAGTAGAAGGAATATAATTGAAAAATGCTGAGTTTAGCCATTTTATAATCGTAATTGTGTGCAGTAACGAACTTTAACTTCCAAGTCATTGTAAGGAAAGGCAAACAGGCTAATGTGAGTGTCCAAATTCTTGGATTTTTCTGAGCATACAGTATATATAAAATAATGTAGAATGTGAACTTGTAGAGAAATCAGCTAAGAGACGAGACACTTTTGACCAAGAGGACTGAACACGCAGAGAATACAAAGGTGGGAAGTAACTTGAGTGATTGTGACAATAACATAAGAGTCCAGAATTCTCAAAGAAGGAAAAGAGCAGTAGAATAAAACCAGTGGGCTTCAAGGAGAAATACTTCAATAAACTGAGACTTCCTTCCCATGAGGTTTTTATCTCTATATTCTCTGAGGGGAAGAAGAGTTCAGGAGAGCTGGCACTTCCTAAAGACACAAACTATCCTTGTGTGAAGGGAAGATAGGAAGTGTAGTAAATTACCAAGACCCACTTGGCTAAAGCACAAGGAATTGTACAAAAAGTAGAAAGTAGATCAATAGGTGTGTTTAAAAGAGCACACTGGGACAAAATCAGAAAGGCAGGGCATAAAACAAGATAAAACTAGCAAAAGCTGCTTTACTATTCTGTAAAAAAACCCCAAACCAAAACCAAACAAGAGGACAGCCAAAATAAAAAATAGCTCACTTATGCTCAGTGGGAAGGAAACAGCACGTGAGGCCAGCTATTTGACTTGTTTTTTGCTTCAGTCCTCAGCCATCTGAGTGTAGGCTCACAGCCTTGACACCACTGACAACTGAGTACAAGCTTTTGCTAGAATGGGGGAAAAAAATCCACATAAGGCAAGTTGTTTTAAGACAATCTCAGAGACATCTGCTGCTATCTTTGAGAACCCATGGAAAACAGACAAGTTTCAGATGGCAAATACAGTTCCTTTCTTTACTGAAGGAGATGATGATGGGAGATGGGGAATTATGGATTGGTCAAACTAAGCTCAATTTTCACAAGGAACTAACAAATTGATCTGGTTGCAAGCCCTTAGCAATGCAGTAAGTAGCAGCAAACACAGATTTGTGGGGAAATGATCTTAACCAGTATGATTTATTTCGTTCTGTGACAGAGTAAAAAAGCCGTGTGAAATGGCTGATGTCTTGGTTGTATTTTCAGAAAGAGGCAGGCAGATCTGAGGCAGGGATACTATCTTGCTCAGAACTTTGTTCACAGCATTATTAGAGATATCAGAAAGAGTTGCAGGTGGGGTCTGGCATTGGTATTTTCATTAGGATTTGCGTGACATTTGAAAGAGTAGAACTGACCCAAAGCAAAGAGTGTAAAAGTCAAGAGAAAACTGTGAGGATCTCAGCTTGGCAGGGAATGAATGTACAGCTGCAGCCTGGGAGAATAGAGGCTGGGCAGGAGACTTTGTTGTAGCAAGGGCAATCTGACACGACTTGGCCATGTGGACTGACTGGTATCTAATAATGGCAAAGAAAGAACCCAGTTAAGGGAACTCAACTATCTGAGACTTATTCTTTTTATAAGACCTGCAGAAGACTCTCATCTTGGACCTCTATAGTCAAAAATGGTTGAGCATGGCACCAGGGTTCCAAAGAATGCAGAGGAGAGCAACTGGCACACACAGACCTCTTATCTGCTGCATGCACTGCATTTCTGGTGAAAATAAACTAAAAAAAAAAAGACACTTTCATATCTGAAATAGGGGTGTGCTATGTAAGGCACATAAAATAATTTTTCACTTCTAGTAAGCATTGGTAAGACTTTGGCTGAAATTTTGCATCCTGTTTTGGGTACCCTGCTTTCAAAAGAGGATGCGAACTAATCTGAGTTCAGATAAAAGGACGAGGAGTGTTAAGCAGCAGAGCAGACTTGTGGGGTGGAAACACTAGAGAATGTTCTTCTCCCCTAAATGGAACTAAACCAGATTTATGTAAAATTCTGAATTCTTTCCCCTTTCCCTGCAAATTAATTGTATTCCATGTACGGTATTCGTTTCTATTCCATGTAAGGTATTCAGAAAAGAGCTTTAAGGCTGGGCATCAAGACAAACTTTATCTGATACTACCACAGTCAAACAGAGAACTGTTTGGATCAGTGGTTGAGCTGTATCTATGAACCCAGAGAGTCTGGGGGTTACTTCAAAGGCAGCTAAGGAAGAGTAAGAAAACACAATGCGGTCAGTAGTCTTCAACCTCCATGCAACAACCTCTGGAAAATGGTAGGGGGTGTACAACTGGGGAAACACTGAGGTGTAACAGAACCTGCCATTGCACAGGGCCAGGGAGGACAGGCTGGTTATTCAGCCTGATCATTCTATTTATGGGAGTTCTGATGTTTGGGGCTATTCAGGCCAAAGGGCAGGAGCTCACCATGCAATTTTAAAGTCTTTCTGTCCTTAAAATGAAAGCACCTCCAGCCTCTTACCCTTCCCCAATTTGTTTCAGAATGCCATGCATGAATAGCATGACTGTGTAATGCAACCCAATTATTTGATCCATTATTGCTAGAGTATCAGAACAAGATATGAATATTCATAAGGCAAAACAAGAGCCACTGGTAAAGATAAGGCAGAATAATATAAACTGTTCCCAAACTGCCCTAGCTGAAATACAACCCTCGGAATATTTTTAAGAGATAGGTAGGTCATACAGCATTTTTAACGTGCTCGCTGCTTGTCTACAGAGCACTCCTCAGCATATGAATGTAAGAGAATTGCTGGAGATGTCTGATAAATTTTACTACATATTTAGAGAAAGGAAACCAATTATGTATTTTGTTCATATTTTATCTACGATGGTGAGATACACCTTATGAAAGACAAACTTTATGAAAAATGTCTCCAGCACCAAGCTTCACTTTCTGAGCCGCAGACCAGTTACATGCTGAATGCGATTTCCCCATTTTGAACTGTCTTTGTTAATTTGTTTTTCAAGTCCTGCCAGACTGTGGTGAGAACAGGCACAAGCATGAAATTAATTTCTTTCGCCTTTCAATGCCTGGAAGTGATGCTCTGACTCTATGAATGAGCAAGACAATCTTTTGGGTTAGTAAAGGTAAGGAAAGTCTACATGAGGGCTCTGTGCATCTTTGCCAGCTTTGTTCTGATGAGCAGTCTGGGTGAACGGAAGGCAATAGAGCCATGCCACAGAGCACTACCACAATAACCTGCATCTACAGTAACATGTTGCTGTTGACAAAGCCTCACAGTTGTAGATCTGGCCTCTACTCAGAGAAGAGGAAGTAGAAGGCTGGATATTTACACTGGAACATTAAAATTTTAGGTTCAGTCTTACTGTGAATTATAGTTTGGAACTGGAAGATGGGAGTACAAAATAAGGATAAGCAGATCTGCATAATTCAGAACATTAATCCAATGAGGGGTTTGGCACATTTTCAATTACTGTATCATCTGATTTATTTAAAACCAGTAAGTTTTGAATTTCTTTTGGGAAAGCAAAAACATAGCTTCAAAACACATGCAAGGTTTAAAAAAATACCCAACCAAACAACCCAGCAACCACAAAACTATTTCATTTGCTGGTATACCAGATTTGGGCTTTATTGTACTGGGTGCTTTAGAAAATACTTCTCTAAAAAAAGTATGTCTGTTTCTAAATAAAGACAACATATAACTAGCGTAACAAAATGAAAGCGGGGACTATCGCAGATGCTTCTGTGTTCTTGTGGCCTGTGTCATTCTGAAGTAGGTACCCACAACTTAATAAACAAGGTGAAATAAACTGACTTCAAATGTTACTTAAGGAAACTAAAGCAGCAGATGAAAATCACATACCTGTAATGAGTAGACTCTGTTAGTATGCCCTTGCAGTGTGTGCAGACAGGTCTCTGTCTCTGGATCCCACACTTTGACCATAAAATCATATGCACCACTTACAACTCTTCTGCCATCATACTGAACGCACCGAACTGCAGCTACGTGGCCCATCAGAACGTGTAAACACTGGCCCGTCTCTATGTCCCAAACTCTCAGGGTAGCATCTCGAGACCCACTGACCACTCTGGAGGAACAAGAAAACCCCTCCTGTACTTAGCATCGGACATAAAAGTATTACAATAAATCAGTTACATGTTTTATTTTGAGGCATGAGATAGCATTAGTCCACTACCCACCAAAGATCCAGTCTGGCATTTTATTAGGGTCAAAAATTACTGCACTGTTTTTCCTTCTGTGCTTTACTTACCTCCCCAGAATCTATTGATATAATTAGCAATCAGTATTTAAAAAGGCATTTAATTCCTGAACAGCAAAACGATGATGCCATGAGAAATTATGTAGGCTCTTGTATCTGCCTATGAAAGCTTATGAATGTGCTGAGCTCCAGTCAGTGCTAGGAGCATTCTGTTTTAATGACTAAGTTAACTAATTATACCAATTAAACGAGATCTTTAGAAGTTTTTGTAAAGTAACAGTTATTCTGCTTGATTCTTTTCAGTTTAAACTTTTCAAGGCTTTTTTAGGGAAGAACAGAATTGAGAAGGAATTAATGAAACTGATAAAGATAAAACCTCATCATTCTTTGAAAAAGAAGGAAAGCAAGCAACAGGCACACTGTCAGCAGCTCCATACCACAGCCAAGTAAAGGAGCTTTGCCAGCATTCGTTGTGTGGATCAAGACATGGTTTACTATTGCAGGAATGATGATATAATCAGCTAAAACGTACAGAAAAGACTGCAGTGCTGATACTTAAGCAGTCATTCTGCAAGATGAGTACAAGTTTGTGGCACTGACAAAAAGAAGAAATTATTTAGTGTGGGAGACTGGATCACAGCGTAACAAAGAACTAGTTTTGAAATAACGCAGAATGTGACTTTATAAAGTACGTGACTCAATTTCTGTTCTTTAATTAGCAATCTTGTGCTTTTGCTTCTATTAATCATCTCCTCCCTTGTGTTGATTTATGTAGTTTAGTTTTAGTGGTTCACCTGGTTTGTATTTCACCCCATCTTGGATGAGCTACCCGAGTTTAACAATCATTTGCTGTGAACACAAGTGTAAATTATATGCTGAACAGTGACTGTAGCATTGGGCAAAGCCTCACCTTTTCTCATGAAGATGCATGCAGCGCACAGTGGAGGTGTGTCCATATAAGGTGTGTATGCATTCTCCAGTCTCAGCATTCCAGACTTTCAGCGTTCGGTCCGTAGATCCACTGATGATGATATTGTCCCTCATCTGTGATGACCAGACTCCACCTGTGTGTCCAACCAGCGTTCTCAAACACTGAAAAGAGGTATTTTGCTTAGTTACCCTTTTGACAGAGTTGAATGGAAACTTAAGAAAAATAATCTAGGAGGTAACAGCAGTTTCTCATAGCAAGAGCCAAAAGAACCCCTGGAGACTGCTTTGTGATTGAACAAAAAAAATCCTACCTTTTATAGATACTCATCAAATTTCTCTCTGTGTTGTCAGTACTTCGACTAGAAGGAATTTTCCCTATAATTTTCCCCTTGATAAACTAAACTGCCTTTCCAAATTTCTCAACACAGGGCATGTTTTACAGCCTTGAGTCATTTTCCTGACATTTTTCTGAGTCACTGCAGGTTTTCTAATAGCTTTTTGAAGCATAAGCGTTACAACTGGAGAGAGCACTCACCTTGTAGTTTTACCACCCATCCATAAACCATAGACTCTTACTGTATTTTTCTGCTTATCTGAGAAACGTGGCATTCTATAACCCTTAGCTGCAGCATCAATACTGCCAAGTCCTGTTTCAAGCCTTTTTCAGACTTCACTGTTGGCCTGGAGAGAATCCCACACGACTTAAGCACAGCCTACCTTCCTTGATCCCAAATGTATGACACGATTTCTCACCACGCACAGACAGTGTTTGCTCACACCTACTTCTAGAAAACCTCCGTCACTCTGGAACAATGACTTGTCTCCATGTCTCAGCCTGTATTGCTCACAAGTAATGACTCTATATGCTTTCGCACCAGGCTGCAATAAGTGCTAATTAGCACAGACAAGAAGAGATCCTTGCAAGACCCCTCTAGAAAGATACTCCATGAAGATTCTGCATTTAAATTAACAACATGAGCGCTATAATTACTCACTTTCTAACCCACTTAAGTATGTGCCATGCTGATTTTTGCATTGTTCTATTTTCTTCAGTCTGTCATGGGGATACAGTCTTGCAGTGCACATAGGCAGCTACTGCTGCACTATGATTTTTATCAGTCAAACCTGTAACTCCATGAGAAAAGAGGTCAAGACAGTTTGATGATCTCTTTTTCTGTAATCTAATGCTAAGTGGTATTAATTGCTGTGGCCTCCCTTTAACTGTTAGTTGACTCCTCTTGACGTAGTCCAGTATATTTTTATCTGAGATAATGTATCCTAAATACCCGTCCTTCAGTTATTGCAGCTTTCTGCCATCCTTTGGATCCTTGCACCTTTTGAAGAAACACCAATTTTGCCCCACAAGTAACTTCAGGAAAAAAATTATGGAATTCAAACTATCTGGATCAACTGTACTATGCAAAACTGTACCTCTGGTAGTTGTTGCTTAACATCCTTGTGAGTTCGTGCTGAAATGACGTGTTCTATTATCATTGCACGCTGTATTTCCATCACATGAATCTTCTCCCAAAATATTTTTCTGCATCAGTGATAGTATACTAATTTCTGTTGTTAATATCCTGTTCTAACATCCTTGAAAATGCCTTACTCTTTTGCTATACATAGATTTCCTGTTCCTTAACATTTTTTTACCAGTCTTCTGCAATTCCTGGCTCTAGCTTAATTCACTGCTATCAAATCCGTCTTGCTCAGTTCATAGCTGTTATTCACTTTTACAGCTCCTGGATTTTTTTAAATCTCAGCCGATTTGCTCATATTTTAAGAAATCATCCTTCAGCAAGAACACAGAATCCTTATTTTGGGTTCTACATCTGTCAAGGGAATTATTTAGTCATGTTCATCTGCACAAACCAACCTTTAGGGTTTTTTATTTTATTAATTCTTCAGCATCAGTAAGCACGAGGGCTGATACAGCATTCTTCCATCCTTCATATACAACCTCTGGCTCTCTTAAAAGTTTGGGGTAAACGCTCACAGTAGGATTTGTAATTACTTTCAAAAAATTACTGAAGAGGAATTGTGAAGTCATGCTACTATGATCAATGTGATATATTTAAAGGAACATTTTGCTTTTGAGAGGGTGGTATGTACAAAAGAAGTATTTTTCAGCTGGGTTTAAGCTGCCTTTTTCAATTAAAAAATGTAAATTTCAATATGGGCTCCTTCATTAGACAAGTCTGTTGTAGAGAAGCCAGCAGAGGCAGGGTGAGGCTGCCTATGGCTTTTAATTTTATTCTTCCCCACAGTAGTATTTACAGTCCTGTCAAGGATCTTCTAGGCATGCAAAGACAAGTGCTTAACACGTTCAGCTTCCAACGTTATAAAGTGGATACCTTTTACATCTTAAACACATTATATCCTCAACAGCTGTCCTGTTGTTCACCTAACTATAGCATTAAAACAAAGCTAAGTACATACAATACTAGTCCAGAAAGACAAAGCACTGCTTCCCGGAGGCCTTTTCTGTATCCTCACAGCACGGTCAGCCAGTCACCTTAAACCAAAAATTCTGTGTGCTGACTAGCTGGCTGCAATGTTCTAACATGAGTGAAATGTTCAGTACTGTCTTTTTGATTGCACATATTGTTTTGCTTCCCTGAGCAAAAATTAAATTATTGAAGCTTATTAAATTCCTGCCTGAGCTGGATCTAATTTAATAGGAAATACTTAAACCTAAAGCAAGTTACTATTTTTTTTTGGTGGCTCAGCAATATAGTAGCTTAGAAAGAAAAGAAACAAACTCTGTATTTGAAATCAGAGCCAGTAAGGTGAACACCCCATTTCGGTCACTTGAAAACAACAGAAAGAATGCTGGAAGACAAGTGAGAAAGGGAGATCCGGAAGGGGAAAAGCAAGCTAAATTAAGCTTTAAGGGAGATGAAGTAACGTATCTGTCGGAATTCTTTAGAATCCATGTCACAAACGACTCGGCAAGAATAGCAGAATTGCCAGGAGAACAAGGATCTATGCCAACAGTAACATGAGCAGCATTGCAATTTCACATCAAGGTGACTTTTTTCAAACTAGACTAGTTTCTGCATAGGAAAAGATGACCCAAATGTTTACCGGTGCTTTTTCCAATCCTTGCACCAGACAACACTGAAGAGCACCCTTGGAACATGCTCTGAAGACACAACAGCAGCAGTTTTGCCATACCAGTGCTCTACCTGTAGCTCATTTCCTGAGGAACTCAGCAAAATAACCAGCTTACCTTGCCTGTGACCGCTGACCACACTTTCAGCGTGTTGTCGTCAGAGCCGCTCACTATTCGGTTCCCGCAGAACTGAAGGCATGTGATCACGTGGTCATCATGGCCCTTGAGCACCTGATGATAAAGAACATGAAATGTACAGTCACAACTTAACACAGGAGATTAGAAAGAGCAGGAGGAACAAAGTGCTCTTTGCATTCATGAATTATAAAATGCTAGAGTTGCTTCAGTAATAATAAGGCCCCATGGTCCTGTGTGTCAAGTCTAATCTGCCACCAGCTGGAACCAAAGAAGGTATTTTCCTTCTCTCATGGAGTGATACTGCATTGTGCAGCAAGCACACCACCATTACTGCAAGCCTTCTAAGAGTACCAGGAAAAACTGCTAATAAAAGTAGGCTGAATTAGTATCTGGACATTGCTCAATTCCTCTGCAGTTATTGCATCTCTTTATTTTTCAGCTGAGATACTTTTACCTTTGAAGAGTTGTTTCAATCTTGGAACAAAAAGGATGGGGTTGTGGTATTTGCTGCATACTTGTATTGCACTGGTCAAGGCTGACTATCTATTTTTTCCCTTTCCCAGCCAAGCATTGTAATCTATTAAATGACAGGCAGCACTAAGTAAAAAACTAGAAAACCGTTAACTCAATTAAACACAAACAAAAGCAGTAATTTAATGTGCTGGCAATGGGGATTGGAATGTTGCTTTAGAGAGGTGTGATTTTCATTGCTTGATTTGGGAGAAATGGCAATTCACAGTGTATTTTACTGCGATACAGCAAAAAGAACCCTTATCAGAACACATAGGATGAGGAATTCTTTATTTAAGTTCTCTGAACACTTCTCAAGATGTTCACTGAAGCGAAATGGGCATTTGGATAATGCCCGAGGCTGTAATTTTCATAGTAATTCCAAGATAACTTGATGTGGCATATCAAGGCAAGAAACACACAGCCATTGCCAGAGATGTACGTAAGTCACGGCCAAATAAGCAGCAGGCGAGAGCCACGGGTTTTCCATGGGAATCTTTTTGTTCTGATTTTTATTATTTTGTTATACAGTCCTCAAGAAAACAGGCAAATTGATTTAAAACCTTAAGAGGCGAGGAATGGGGGTTTCCTTTGTGGCTCTCAATGCTTCTTCAATACCAGGTTTGCTTAAACACTTAAAAATTTTAACGTGGAATGAAGTTATTGTCTCGTGCTGCTCAATTTAGAGTATGTATAAAAATAAAGCACAAAATGATCACAGAATAGCTGTGGAGTATTTTTATGTTGCGACATGGCCCAGCTCTACAAATACATACATACATACATATATGTGTATTTATATATATATTATATATGTGCGTGCATGTTTTAATATAAGAATTTCCAATCAAGTTTCTGAGATTGTCTGTCTCAGAGACTGGCGTATTTATAGGAATTCACTACATTGTACAGGAATTTTTCAAACAGCAGTAAAAGAATTCTGCTGTATTAAGAAAGAGTCACATTTCGGTTTGCTAATGTGGTGCCCAGAAATGAATTTAAACCCAGGGTAAGCTGAAATACAAAGCTGGGGTTTTTTTCTGTACCA